CTCTTCCGCTCCGTCACGGTGGCCGTGGCGCTCTGCGGGCTGGCGGGAAACGGAATCGTCATTTGGCTTGTCCGTTTGTCCATCAGGAAAAACTCCTCTGTCTACAGCCTCAATCTCGCCATTGCGGATCTCATGCACCTTTGTTTCCAGATCGTGTACTCTCTCCGCCAGATCCTGAAGTTTTTCCTTAATTACTGCTTCTGCCTCCCGGGAATCTTCATGGTCCGAAGGTTGTTCTTCTATTTCACTGGCCTGGGTATCATGGCCGCCATCAGCTTTCAGCGTTGCCTGTCCGCCCAGTTCCCTATTCGGTATCGCTGTCACTGTCCCAAGCACCTGTCTGCCGTCGTGAGCGCCCTGCTCTGGATTCTGACCTTTCTGATGAATATACTGCGAGGCCACGCCTGCGGCCAGCTGCTGACCAACACCACCGAGTCCTGCTCGGCGCTCGCAGCCGTCGCCAGCACGTGGGCCTCTCTCCTGTTCTCCATCATGGGCTCGTCCAGCCTGCTGCTGCTCCGGCGTGTGCGGCAGAGCGTCCACGAGCATAAGCCCAGGAGGCTCTACCTGGTTGTCCTGCTCACCGTCCTGGTGTTCTTCCTCTGTGGCCTGCCCCTGAGCGTCATCAGGTTCCTCGTCCCTAAGATGGACGACCAGACTCTCAACGACATCTGTGTCCTCCTGTCCTCTGTCAACAGCGCTGCGAACCCTGCCATCTACTTCCTCATCGGGGGCGTCCGGAGGCAGCAGCCGAGGGAGCCGCTCAAGCTGATCCTTCAAAGAGCCCTGGGCGAAGCGACAGAGGATGATGAGGCCGGGAAGGGCCCGCAGTTGGCAGAACACGGAGGGACCCCTGCGGGCTGGGGAGTTCCCAGATGGATGTGTGCCACCCGGGCAGGACCCCATCGTCTTCCGGTGGCCACCACTGCTCACCTCCAGGATGATGGGCCGCCCCCAGCCCAGGGACCCCCAGGCGAGCGCCCTGCACACCTCCACTGTATAAAAACTGAGGACAAAGTGCTAGAAGCAGACTGTGTGTGTATGAAGTGAAATGAGCATCTTTGAGCCTTTAGAAGTCCACTGTCACAGCATCTTTTGGGAAGTTCGTCAAGGGGCCTTACAACGTCACGCTCACCTACCACAAACAGCTGACGATTTTTAACATATGCCTTGCTGTTAAAATTCTGCATATTTTCAGTTTTGCATGACTAGGGCTGCTAAATTCCAAGCTATAGGTTAACAGCTTGGGAACGGTGTGCCGCTGTCCTGTGCCTGTTTTTCTGGCTTATGCAAGACCCTGTTTTCTTTCTAGACTTCCAATGGACCGAGCTCATGGGATGCAATGTCCACTCTCTCCTTTTTGCCTTTAGAATCCCAGTGAGGTAAGTCTTTCTTGACTACGTATGTCCCAAAGGACAACACAAAGCTGCTCGTGGGTTTGACTGCTTCAATTAACCCCTGGTACAATCAGCCTGCTTTTGTTGCCAAGTGAAATGCTGTAGCCAAAGCTGGTAGGGCCTTCCAGCAGTGAGGAGAAAGGCTAGTGGCTCTTGGACCTCAGAAGCGTCCCCAGGACACAGAAGGTTCCTGAGATTCTGAGTCAGCTCTGTGCTTGACATGCGGCACCATTTGCTCTCTAGGAAGTAGGCTGGGTCTTGTCTGGGCGTCGGAGGACAGACCAGGATCCCTCAGCGACATGCTCCTGGCCGCAGAGGAACTGGCAGATGCTCATTAGCTGAGCTCTGGGGACTGTCCTGTAACTGGGGGACACTGCCCCATAACTGGATGGCCAGGGGCTAGGGTCACACCTGAGCATGACTCCCGGGACAAAGCTACGCGGTGTCCCTTCGCACTCCATCTCCTCTCCCTGAGATAGAGGCTGCCTGCTCTGCTGTGACACATGCTGGGCGTGGGAGCCAGACTCCCAGAGACTGGGGGGTCCTGCTGGGTGGCCCATCAGGTGCTGGCAACACCCAAGCCATGGCTCCCCAAAGTGTGTGGAGCTGGGGGTGGGCTGAGGACATGCAGACATGAGGATGTCACACCAAGTGCCCATGCCCACCTGTGCCCCAGAGTCAGCAAGGTGCCCATCCTGCCCCGGAGACACCTGTTTTGTGACGACGTCCGAACCGAAGGGGCCTTTCACCCCGGGCGACACTCATCTCAGAAGGTGATGGCATAGTGTGAGCGTCCCACCTTCCCACTGCTGAACCTCACATCTCCTGGGGCTAATTCGTCACCACCCACGTGGGCCCAAAGTAGGGGACAATAGGGTCAAGGTCGCTAGCTGCTGAGTCCGCGCCTACCTGCTCACCAGCTATGCCAGGAGCCATCGGCCTCGGGAGACCCAGCTGGGCTGATGCCAGTTGGTTCAGGGATGGGTGTATGACCCAAATGAGCAAATCCACAGCTTTTACTGAGGAAACAGGGCAGATATGCATACAGAGTTCTTGTTGGATTTAAACCTGGAAGTTCACAGGCTGGATCCCCAGTGCCCCAGGGTGGAGGAGGAAGGGAGCCAGCAGAGAGATGAGCTGACAGGGCTGAGGGAGGAGAGAACCAAGTCCTAGCGGCACTGCACATACCCTGGATCCAGCCAGACCTGCAGCTGCTGCTGTCCCTGCACCACTCAGTGTATCAACCAATAAATTCCTTTTCTTGCTTACAAGTTTCTTTTCTTGGGAAAGACTTTTGGGCGTGGGGAGAGTGGCACAGACTCCAAGCTGACTACCCCTCCTCCCCAGAGCTGGGGGTGCTGCTAGACTGCGTGGCCAACCACATTTCAGCTTTAGCTGCACCTGGGAGGCTGTGACTCCCTGGGGCTCAGCCCTGGAGAGAGGATTTGGGAGCTTAGGGGAGGAAGGAGGCGGCTGCTCCTCACCCCCACCATACAGACAGACCTGGTCCCAGAAATCACGGTGAAGCCACAGCAGGAAAGAGGCACACCAGGCAGAAGCCGGAGCTGCTCCTGCAGAGGTCTGGCCCTCAGGGTGGAGAGGTGGCCCTGGAGCCGCCCAGAAGGACCCAGGCCACCCCGACCCAGCCCCACTCCTGGGTTAGGTGGGGCCTTCCCTCAGAACAAGGGAGGTAGTGCCCGGACTCCCAGAAAGGACCTTCTTCCTGGTACCTTCGGAACCCAGGACAGGAAGACATGTGTGGGAGGGGGGTCTCCTCCCGTTTTCTGCTGATGCCCCCTCTGGGCTGGGAGCCTCAGTCCTTCCTCCGGCTGCAGGGGTGCGATCTGGAGGCATCAACACTTCACTTCCAGCAGCCTGCCCAGGAAGGGACTGTGGGCGCGGGGGGTGGGGGGTGGGGGCAGTGCTGGCTCCAGAGGGAGAGTCAGGAATCAGTTCTCTTTATTCCACTTTGCTGGCAACTAGTAAGGGGAGATGCCTCTCCCGTGAAACACTGTTCAACAAGGCGTTGACGAGCTGCTCCAGGCCACCAGTGAGGCCACTGCGAGATGGGGGCCCTGGTGGGAGAGGAGCCCCCCACAGGACCTGACGTCAGTCCACATCGTCCAGGTCCTGCTGCGCTCTCCTCTCCAGCTGCAGAACCTAGAAGGGAAGCCACGTGAAACAGCGTCTACAGGCTGCAAGGACACTGGCCCACCCCACACCTAAGAGGGTCACAGTCACGGGCTGAAAGCAAAGTTACCAAATGGTATTTGCTGGGTGCCAGATGCAGAGCACATGCGCCAGGGGATCCAGGGAGGGCCTGCGTCAGCACATCGTGGTGCTCAGGGCGGGACCACAAGTCTGCAGGCGACTACGTTCTCCCATGTGTATCCTAAGGTTCCTATATTTGCTAACTTCTGGCCCGATCTGGGGGATCCATTACCTATGGTGCCTTCTGGGGCATAAGCCCCGCCTCCCCAATTCTGTGGTGGGAGGTGGGTGTTCTGTGCATGGCAAGATGCTTAGCAGCACACCTGGACCCCAGCCAGGAGATAACCAAAGCGTCTGTCCCAGACATTGCCTGATGTCATGAGGGGGCACCAACCCTCCCGGGAACTATGGCCTTGGATGGGCAGAACTACATGGGGTCAGTCCCCTGCTGACTTCACCCCTCAGCTCCTCAGAGACGCTCCCCGATCACCAGATGGAGCGGGTTCCTTCTGGCCTCCCATTCTCTGGCCCAGCCCTGTGATCGCCCCACTTACCACTGTTGGTGCACTGTGTGTGCCAACTGGCCGGTACCCCCTGGGCAGCAGCTGCATCTGACCTCCTATCGAGGTTCTAGCGCTTTGCCTTGGAAAAGGGGAGGGGCAGGACCTGTCTGCTTTTTGACTGATTTTATTTTATTATTCCTTCCTTTATTTTCTGGTTAATTAATTAGCAAAAGAAAGGAAAACGGCGTTTTGGGAGATGTGGAGCCGCCTGAACACTTCAGCTGTCTGGAAATGACAGTGACTCTAGGACACAGGACGCGGGGATGTACACAAGGGCACACACGCCAGCTCAGCCCGACTCCAGGTGTGTCGGCCCCTTTGCAGAACAGGGACAGTAAACAACCCCAGTGTGTGCATACAGACGCTTTCAAACCCTCAACGGAGAGGAGCCGATGTTTCCACGGCAGATACTTAACACAGAGAAACCCACCGCTGCCCGGTTCACCTGATCTTCTATGCACCGAAACTGCCAAGACCAGCCCGTGTTGTAGAGAAAGGGCCGCAGGTCGAACCTGTTGTCGTCGGGGCTGTAGTTCTCAGCATGATAGGCGGGTGTGAGGGTGGTCATCTTGTGTCTGTTCATGGCATACCTTGAGAAAAATCGCTCCACTTTGTCGGCCACCTGGTAGGCAAGGAATACACAGGGCTTCACGGCTGGGAAGCTGGGGAGGCCGGAGGCCGGGGCGCGGCTGTGTCACACTGGGCTGTTTCAGCTCCCGGGCTCCGCTGCTGCACCTGGACTTCCCAAAGCAGGAGTGGACAAATGCCTGTGCTCGCGCTGGGGCAGCTGGCAGAGCTATAAAAATGGGGGTCCAGCACCCCAGGAGACCCCAGCAGGGATCCTAGGAAAATACATTTCATGACACTTGCGGGCGGTTCTGTGGGGACCCCGTGTTTGTGGGCTTCAGCCCTAATGGGCCTGATAACTAGCACAAAAACAGCAATATTCTGACCTCAACATTTACCTACTGCCCCCCATATGGGCAGGCGCTTGTGGGCAGCACAGTCATGCCCGCCTGGCCAAACTAGTTGGGGTGTGGGGAGAGCCCCAGCAGGGGCAGCTCAGTATGAGACGGAGTGTTACCTTGTGCTCCCGCGAGCCAGCTCCACTGCCAGGTGCGGGCACCGGCCAGCCTCCCCCGGGAACGTCATGTGCTGCTTACCTGCCGCGGTGTGTAGGTGTCGCCCCACCCGGTGAGGAGTCTGCAGAACATGCTGAAGGGACCGGCCTTGGCCGACTTCCTGAGCCTCCCGTAGACGGAGAGCTCTGCGTACGTCATCCCCATGTCCTCCTGGGGAGGAAGACACACGCTTCACGGAGTAACAGAAGGGCAGCAGAGCCTGAAGCTTCCTCTGGAGTCGGGGACCGAGACCCAGAGGAGGGGACGTTCTGAAGGGCCAGGAGCAGAGGCCCCGGCTGACTCCCAGCCGACAGGCCAGGACGGAGGCCACTGGACCGGGGCCCCCACGGAAAGTATGCCTACATCCCAGAAGCTAGAAATCATGCACTTATTTTGAAAAAAGGTCTTTGTACATATAACTAAGGATCTCAAATGAGATGACCCTGGATTTAGGGCAGGCTCTCAATCCAATGACAGTTTCTTTGTAAGAAACAGAACAGAGACAGAACAGAAATGGTCAGGTGACCACAGAGGGAGAGGCTGGAGGGACGTGGCTGCAAGCCCAGGATGCCTGGGGCCACAGAAGCTGGAGGAGGTAGGGGGGACCCTCTCCTGGGGGCCCTGGAGGGAGTGCACCTTGATTCCAGACTCTGCCCCCAGAACTAGGAGAGAACAGAGTTCTGTTGTTGAAGCCCCTGGGTCTGAGTGTTTTGTTTCAGCCATCCGAGGAATCCCAGGGAGCCTGCTCCCCCTAAGGCCCGGTGAGGCCCGCAGACAGGCCCTGAGCCCAGCCCCGGGGAGCCCACTCCCCTTAAGGCTCGGCGAGGGAGCCCAATGCAGAAAGGCGGGAGCAGAGTCACGGGAAGTGAGGCGAAAAAGCCTCCGCCATCACCTCGTCGGTCTGAGACACCTGCCCGTCGACCAAGGGCTCCAGCTCTGCGGTGGCCGGCGCTGCTAGGATGCTGTGACCGAGATACACACAGATCAGGATGCTACCGCATGTCAGGAGCCTGGGGACAGGTCCCCACGCCCACTGTCCCACAGGCACCGGCCAGTCTCAGCAGCGCCGCTGTCGACCCAGTGGCATCGGCAAAGCCAGGGGCGAGCTCCTGGGGAGAGGGGCGCGGAGCAGGGATGGGTGGCGGGAGCCGCAGCAGGGCTTCTCTACTGAGGCACCCCCCATGTGCTGGGCCAGGCACGCCTGGTTGTGGGGCAATGCTGTGCACTGTGGGACATGTAGGAGCTTCCTCCCACTGGATGCGGGGAGCACACCCTCTCATGCTAACCACAGAAGTGTCCAGGCATTGCCCAGCGTCCCGTGCTGGGGGGCCATGGCCAGAAAAGAAGGGGTTGGCCTAGTCACGGCACCCCAAGGGCCCACTGAAGGGCAGGACTGCTCTCACCAGGTGGTGGGGAGCCGTGGAAGGTGGCTGAGCGGGGCTAGGGGCCCAGGGCGTGTACCTGGGGTCACACTCACCACTGCAGGGCGGGAAGCTGGAAGCGCTCCATGCAGAACTGGACGAAGGCTCTCAAGTCTGTCTTGCTGATCCCCCCGATGGGGTTGATGTCTGCGCTGGAGCAGTCGTACTTGGTCAGGTAGCCGACGAGGCTGCAGGGGCAAGGGTGCACATGGCTCCCATGTGGCAGAGCCAAAGGGCTGTTGGTCCCGCCACTTGGGGGCCTAGCCATTCAGTCCCCAGTCACCCAGTTTCACTTCTTCCTGGGGCCTGGGAGCCAGAGCTGGTCTAACTGGAGGGTCTGGCTGGGGCAGAGGCTGCAGGTGACTGAGGAGAGGTATTCGGCCTGCCGGAGAGGACACTGAGGCCAGGAAACCGGCCTGGGACGACCAGTTTCCAGCTGGGCAGCCCATTCAGTGAGGGAGGGTCAGCAGAGAATGGTGGTGGGAGGAGGGAAAGGCCCTCAGCACACGTGGATGCTGAGCACGCGCAACTCCCCCATGCCTGTTACCTCTGACTGCCAGACACCTCCTGAGGTGGGCAGAAGAGTGGCCCCAAAATGTCCACGTCCTATACTGGGACCTTCAAAAATGTGCCCTCACAGGGCACAGGGACTTCAGAGTGCAATCAAGTCAAGGGTTGTGAGATGAGGTTTTTGTCCTGGATTAGGTGAGATGGGCCCCAGACAGACACAGGGGTCCTTGCAGTGAAGGAGGGAGGGGGCCAGGCAGAGGGGCTGGGACCACAGAGCAAAGGTCAGATGCTGCCCAGCCGGCTCTGGGTGGAGGACGGCCATGAGCCGAGGACAGGGCGGCACCAGGGGCTGGAGGTCAGGAGCAGACTCTCCCTGGAGCCTCCATGGGAACGAGTCCTGTCCACACCAATCTCAGCCCGGTGAGCCCTGTGCAGGATTGCTACCCCAAGGGCGGTCAGCGAGCCCTGTGTTTTCAATGCTGCTGACTTTGGGGCCCCTTGTCCCCCCCAACCCCGCCACCACTCCGCAGCTCGCCACCGCATCCAGGGTGGTTCCTGACCACACTAGCCTGTGAGGACGTCCTCCAAAATGTTGGGTTTACAGGCCTCCCAGCTATTGCCTACCTCACCAAGCTCACACTAATGCCAGGACCAGGAAAGCCTGGCCCTGTAGGGTCCTCAGTCATCCCCGAGGGTGTCTGTCCTGTCGGGGGACAGCTGAGTTAAATGGTCTGTCGGCATGTACAGCATTTCCTGGCTGTAAGGTTGTCTCATCTCTGTCCGTGGCTCCTTCACCCCAACAACCCTCGAAGATGCACGTGCTCGGCAGAGTCAGGCACCTCCCCTGCACGTGTGGGACCTGGGGTCAGCCCTCGGGGCGGGGCGAACACCAGGGAGGTGGTCACCTGGGGCCGGGTCTGCACATTTGTTTGTGTGTTAAAAAGGACCCGAGATCTTTCTGCCCGAATTAAAACTGATTCCCGGACTGGTCGGACTGAAAGGACAACTTGGCTGAAGGTCATTGCTGAGGATCCTGTTCATGCCTCCAAAGTTCACGAGGTGAAGCTTCCAAGCCCCCACTGACTGTGTCTGGAGATGGGGTCTTCCGGGGGCAATTATGGTTAAATGAGGTCACAAGGGGGTCCTGAACCAGTAGGACCAGTGTCCTTGTAAGAAAGAGATGCAGACAGCTCTCTGCACCCCGTAAGGACTCAGCCGAGGTGGCTGGCTGCGAGCTGGGGGGCCTGCTCCCGCTGGGAACCGAGGCATCCGCGGACCTCCGGCCTCCAGGGCTGAGATGAATGTCTGCCCTTCAAGCTGCCTGGAGGGGGTGGTAAGGGGCCTGAGCTGACCAAGGCGGGCACGTGAGGGGCAGTTCCCAAATCTGAACGCGTCTGTGCTGCTCCCTTGTCCACACGGTGTCGGCTCTCCCCTCCTTTCTCACCTCCCTTAGTGAAAGCAATGCTCCTGGCTGCTCACCTTCAAGGCCTCTTGGCCCCATGTTCCCGTGCCCCCCAAACCGAGTTTCCTGGGGCTGTCTCCAGTGCCCCTCCCTTTCTCTCCTGAGCTGTCCCCTGGGGGCCCTCCAGCAAAGCTGCCCTCATCAAGGTCCACACCCATCTTCAGTCTGCAGAGCCCTGCGGCCACGACACCCACTGCATCTGGTCAGTGAGCGCCCGTACCCCCACCCTCAGCCTCTCGGCCTGGCTCTGGGTGCCACTCTCTCTGGGCTTCACTCCCACCTGCCTGGCTGTGTCTCCTCTTGTCCGGGGCCACCTCAGCTCCTCCAGCTTCCTAAACTCAAGGAGTGTCAGGGCACAGCTCCTGGACCCGTTCCCTTCTCTATCTATAGATAGAAAGATGGATGGGTGGGCGGGTGGGTACATGGGTGGATGGCATGATGGGTGGACACAGCCATGTGTACGTGAAGAGAGGAATACATGACAGATGAGGTTCCTGGAATTCCTCAGTAAACGAGGAGCAGGGCTCCCTGGAAGGAGACAGGGGCTCACGCAGGGGAAGCTGAGGCTGGGGAAGGGCCCCCCAGCTGCTCAGCCTGAGTGCTGGCTGAAACGTCTCTGCAAAGCATTAGGCAAGCTTGTAATTTTTTTAAAGAAGGGAGCAATATGAGAGCGTTTGCGGCCCACACCGAAGATGAGCTACCCAGTTGGGGTGGACACCAGGTGGATGTGGTGGACGCGCTCAGGAGAGGGCAGCGTGGCCAAGGCGGCAGGAGGGCGGGGGCCGGAGGGCACAGTGTTGAGCCCTCCCCACGGCGGGGCCCTGCGGGGTGTCGGGGTGGTGCTGTCGCCAGGGGTGCCGACTGCGGCCTGGGACACGGGACCACATGACTCCCCCGCTCCTGCGTCTCACAGACACCACGGGCATTGGTGAGGCGCTGTGGAGGCCGCCTCTGTGGGTGCTCACCCTCAGACCGGGGTGCTCGGCAGCTGGGACCACACCCCCAGGCTGTACCCACCTCTCATCCACGTTGGCGGACCCGAGCACCAGAAGTCCACCCCGAGCACCCCGGGACCAGAGGCTCAGCTGAGCGAACAGATAAGCGATGACCATCCTCACCCGAGCCTGGAGGACCGAGGGGACACGTCAGCCTGCACAGGGCACAGGGCGCACGCTACCGCCCCAACAGAGGGCTCTCCCCACCTGCCTCGGGAAAACAGGAAGGTCAAGCAATTTGGGGGCTTTCTAGTGTTGGAGAAAGTCGCCCGAGTCCCGCTGTGCTCCTGCGGGGTTGGCCACCTCCATGGTGCTCATGTGCGCTGGGTGGTGGCCATGTCAACCACAGGAAGCCCCGCAGCTGGGAGAAATCTCGGCCCCCGCCATCTGCCCCCTGCACCACTGACATTTCTGGCCAGGAGGGAGGCCGCCATGTCCAGCAGGGACAGGGATCACCACCTCCCTCCACACAGCCAGCAGGCAGGGCGGTGTGTGATCTTCCCGCAGGGCAGAAGCACCCCCACTACACACCTCACACTGACACACCCAACCCCTTGCACTCACACATGCTCTTGCATTCACACACGTGCCTACATGCTAATGCATATTCACTCTCGTACAGTCATACTCATGCTACACATGCACACCTTTGCACTCATGCTAACACACACATGTGCACACTCATGCCAACGCACTCACACATGCACACAAATGCACCCCCACACCAGTGCCTTCATAGTAAGCACACTCACTCATGCTCCCTCAAACGTGCACATATGCTGTCCCCTGCGAAGCCCGCACTCACACGGGCAGACCCCTTGCCCACGAGGCTGTGATCAGGGCACGCGTGGGCGCCCCAGCACCGGCCGTGCCAGGACTCCCTGTGCCCCAGGCAATGGGCGGCCCGGGTCGGAGCGCACCTGCACGTTCTGCAGAGCCAGGTTTTCCCTGCTGCTCCCTCCGTGAGCCGCGGGGAGGGGGCTTTTGCCCGTCACCAGGCTGAAGATGCCCACCATGGCTTTCACGGCTGGGTCGATGCTGACACCCACGTGGTGGCTGGAAGAAGGGTGGGCGGGCATGGGTGTGTGCGCACATGGTGAGGCACACACACAAAACCACCGTTTTAGCCATTTTATAGTGCCTGGTCCAGGGGCCTTCAGTCACGTGGTGTGTGACCACCACCTCTAGTTCTTTCCAGAATTTCCCATCACCCCAGAGGGAAACCGTGTGCCATTAGCAGTCGCTTCCCATTCTGTCCTCTTCCAGTCCATCGACAGCGAATCCACGCCCTGGCTCTACAGACTTGCCTGTTTGAACATTTCATAGACATGGGATCATATGACGTGTGGTCCCTCTGTGACTGGCTTATCTCACTCAAGAATGCCCCAAGGCCGCCCGCGTGGGAGGGCACTAGGCCTTCATTCCCTGCGAGGGCTGAGTAGCACTGCGGGCGTGGATGGGTCCCGTTCTGCCCAGGCGTCCACCGATGGACACCTGGGCTGCCTCCACCTTTGGCTGTTGGGAATCGCACTGCTGTGAACATGGTGTGCAAACATCTACTCGTGTGCCTGCTTTCACTTCCTCTGGGGGCAGATGGAGGGGCAGAATCACTGAGCGGAAGGAGGCAGCTTTTAGCTGAGCTCACACTCAGGACGGGCAGCTCCCGGGGCAGTGTAAGTGGAACCCTCTGTGGGGACCGAGTCTCCCTGCCTGGGAAGATGCCCTCTGTCCACTCCCTCAAGTGGAGCACGGCTGGGGGAAGGCAGTGGGGGGGTGGCACTGCCCACTCCCATGAGCTGCCCGGGGCTCCACTGGGGGGCATATCCACCCTGGTGGCCTGTGCCTGGGACACAGGGATGGGAAGGGGGTGCATTTAGACATGGCACAAGATTTGGGGTGGAACTGACGGTTTCCCTAAAACCTGGCCCAGACCGAGAGTAGAAACCTGCACGTTCAGCCACACGCCCCGCACAAGTTGGGTTTCAGGCAGCTTGGGTCCTCGTCACGGCCGCCCACCCATGCCCAACATGGCCAACTCTACCTTCCAATCTGCTGGGCCAGCTCTCGGGCCCTGCTGCACGTCTCCTGTGAGGAGTTCTCACTGGCCATGTAGCAGGTTGTCAGGATGCGTCCACAGAGGTCCCGGGGGTCCTGAGGGGTGTAGCTGGTCTGGTTCACGATGGTCTGGACGTCAGCCAGAACTTGCTGATCTGAAGCCGCCACACAGAAAGGTAGCAGCCACTTGCACATGCAAGGTGCATGCTTGGCTTAGCCCTTCCCCATTTGCCCTGGTAGGTTAAGTGTACACGAAGTGTACCCGTTGGGTACACGAAGGGAGCGTTCAGTGTCACAGCACACAGAGGGGCAGTCGGACCCTGGGTTTGCCTGACCCAGAGCCGATGTCCTTTCCCCAGGCCACGGTGCCGACACACAGCAGCAGTGGCCTGACAGACACAGGCATTGGCCCAAAGCCCTGGGAAGGGGCTGTAATGCCTTGCTGTCCCCAGGCCCTGGGGCTCAGGCGTGGTGTCATGACATTCGTGCATGCCCACAGAGCCTCCTGCACCCATGATGCCTGGCAGCGGGCTTTCCCTCTGCCCAGCCCTGGGACCCAATGGGAGCCCAGCTCAGACTGACAGACGTCACCTACTTCCATTCTTCACAGCCTCGCAGACCTGGTGGCACATGGAGTAGACGAGGCAGGCAGTGGCTGCGCTGTCCACCCCGCCACTGAGGGGCAGGAAAAACCCCGCCTGCAATGGGCCAAGCAAACATGGTGTGAGCAGAGCCTCGGAGAAGTGACGTGCCGCAAACTTCACCCAGTTCCACCCACGAGCCTTGGTGCGCACCCACAGAAATGCCCGTTGGTGTCAAGCTCTCATTGGGAGAGGAGAAAAGATGGCCTGCACATTCCAGAGCGGACTCTCCAGAGGGAAAAGAGACCTTTCACTGGGAGTAAATCTAAGGCTGAGTCCCTGTTGGGCCAGAGACCTGTATGAGCACAGACAGTGGGAGACGGTCGCTCATAACTGAATGTCAGCAGACAAGGGCTCCAAGGCAGGAGCCAATCTCTGGGCACTCTGGCCTCTGGCTAGTGTGGGCTGAGCTCCTGGCTGAGTCAGAGTGAAGAAACAAAGAGAACAATCGCTAGCCTGCCATACAATCAAAGGCAAACCGACCAGCAGGACAAGCAGGGTGCGCAGGTGAGACCCTGCGAAGCTTACCTGTTGGCTGCGCCTTAAAAAATCCCAGAGCCAGCATGCAGGGCCAAGGCTGTGGAGCGAAGGGAAGCATAGGTCTGCGAACTGCTGGGCTGGTCCGCAGCTTACCCGGAGCAGCTGCAAGGCGGGGACGGCGCCAGGGAGAAAGCACCAGTGGTGCTGAGCTCTCGCAGCTCACCAGCCCGCGCTTTAAGCGCTTCACGTGAATTAGTGCATTTCCAGGCCAGCGTCTGCACTGCCAGCCCCTAGCAGGCGTGGCCTCCTCCTAACCATGTAGCTTATCCTGGGCAGGTTCTGAAAACTGGCCGCCCACGCCGCCCTGCACGGGGCAGATGCCATAGCAGGGGGAGGCAGCAGCCCACGGGAGGACAGGTCCCTCCCCACACGCGAGGACCACCCACCTGATCTCCTCGCCAGGGCTGTGGTACTTCCACTCGATGGGCTCAGACAGCGGCTCCAGCAAGTCCTCACGGCAGGACAGGGCGAAGTCCACCTTCACTCGGGGGTAAGGGCTCGCCCTGCTGGCCTGTTGGTGGGTATTCACAGGATGACATCCCCTCAGCGCCAACCAAGAGCAGGACTGGCAGCTGGGAAATGCACATGGGAGCCACAGTGGGTGCCCTTTCACAGCCTTGGGATGGCTGGGGTCAGACAGGAGGCGGCAGGTGTAGGCGGGGTCGGGGAGACATCGGAGCCCTTGTACATTGCTGGGGGTGGTAAGATGGTGTGGCTGCCATGGAAACGCCAAGAGTGAAAACACGTCCACACTAAACCTGGGCCTATGCTCACAGCAGCGTTATTCATCATAGGCAAAAAGTGGAGACGTTCCAAATGGCCACCGAGGAAGAATGGATAAACACGTGTGATCTCTGCAGTCAACAAAATATCATCTGGCAACACAAAGGAACATAGCGCTGACACCTGACATGCTGCAGCGTGGCTGAACCTCAGACAGACACGTCATGTCCAGCGCAAGATGCCAGACACACAGGATCGTGTGTTGTAGGATTTCATTTCTGTGAATGTCCAGAACTAGCAAGTCCGCAGAGATGGAAAGTTGCCCAGTGGCTGCCAGGGGCTGAGGACAATGAATGGGTCTGGGTTCTCTTGGGGCGGTGGAAGCATTCGCACACCGGCTGTGGTGATGGATGCATGCCTCCATGAACATACTAAACACCACTGAACCATGTGCTCCAGGGAGTAAACTGTGTGGTGTGGGAATGACATCTCAACAAAGCTGTTATTTAAGAACAAGATTCTGGGTGTTTGACGAACCTCCCACACAGGTGCCAACTGAGGCGCTTACCGCCAGGTTTCGAGACGAAATCTCCGCCCTGTAGCTTCTGACATCCTCCAGATCCAAGGTGGCCGTGAGGACTTCCTGGAGGCGGGAGTATCACAGAGAAAGCATGGTTGCCTGTTTTGAGCACTCATGCGTGTAATTTGGCCATTTTCATAGGTGTGCCAAATTGCACATAGTTGAGTCATGTCTTTTAAGGTGGGGACTGGGGACCTGTGAATTCCTAGGGACCCAGGGAGAGGACACAGTGCTGTTGCAGGCCCTAAGCACTTCTCTCTTGCCACCAGAATCTCCACTGAATTCAGACATTTACCAGTGATCTTTAATTATGGCACAGGACACAATCCTATCAATAAATGCCTGCGGGCTTCTGAGACAGCTTCTCTCTTCTTAAGTCACATGAGAACAAGGGCCCCTTTTCTGCTTTGAATGTGACTATGTGGAGATGGCTGGAGCTGCTGCAGCCATCCTGGGACCATGAGGAAAGGCAACCCAAGACTGAAGCCCACACAGAGCAAGGCTGGGCTGGAGAACGGCAGGGAGGTGGAGCCGGAGCCCTGGGAATCCGTGCCAAGTCCAGGCCTGGACATGCTCCCTGTATTATGTATGTGCAGGTGACACTTCCCTGCCTTTGAACCCAGCTGATGTGGGGGGTTCTGCTACTTGCAGCATATAGTAGAAAAGAGGACATTTTAGCTCATAGATCTTACTCCTTTCTTTAGAAAAATCCCTAATCAATTTGCCTCTTGCTGCTTCTTAACCGCTGGGCGACTCAGGATGCCTGTGGCCACCCTACTCCTGCCACGAGGCCCACAGAC